ACTGTTAATCCAAACAAAGTGAAATCTTTGCATGCAACCTCATACCTCAGTATTCAGATAAGAAATAAGAATTAGAAAATATGAAAGACAATGTAGGAGACTAACTGATGAGAAAAAGAGCCAGTAGCTTTCAGAATTTCAGACAGGTACTAGAACAAGATAAACAACTGAGTATGGCCTAAAAAGATTAGTGGGTAACCAAGTAACATTTCATCAAGGGAAATCTAGATTGACTTGATGGACAATGAGAGAGGGTTATATACCAAGGGTTCCATGACCTCTCTGAGAAGTTTTACAGCTAAAGCTTTGTATAGCCAAAATGATAAAAATGCCATGTGAACAAAGATGCAGATTTGGCTTGACAAGACTGGATTTTATAAACTTCTCATTTCCTTGGTACCTGTTTTGGGGAGGAGCATTAGGGTCCTGTTTTTTACTTTTTGACCCTACATTATCTTTTTTAGGTTTTTTCTTCTTTGGCTTTCCTTCCTCATTTTCTCCTTCTTCATCTTCATCATCCAAAGGCACATCAAACTCTGGTTCTTTCAATAAGCCGAAGAAAACCTACAAGCCAATAAAAAAAAACACACAAGACAAAAAAGTAATTGCTGTTTTTAATGGTAACTTTTCAATGTAGTAGTCCAAGCAATAGAGCTGCCCCTTTAAAGCTGCTCTGTTTAATATTACAGCATATATTACTGCTTAGCCCATAAGGAATGTAGTATATGTTCTCCTGGTTTACCCAGCCAACTGATCTGCACAATTTTAAGTTCTCCCACCATCTCTTAATCTTTCTTTAAAGTGCAATCCCCACCCTACTTCATTTATTTGTATAGTACTGTGGTACTACACACACAGCTCTTCTAGTAACAACTGGTAGCAGGTCAAAATTACTATCTGTTGTACAAAAGAGGAAGCCAAATAGTCAGGTGTCCATCTTAAAATCCAAAGTAACTAATGAGTTAGTTTAAATTTAGTTCAGCGGGCTGAACACAAGGTTGTATGTCAAAAGGATTCAGCAATTTCCTTCACCTGACAGCAATACATCTTGATCTCTCTCTACTCCTGTAAACACTCGTTTGTACAGTTCTCTTCCTTTGTTCCACTGATGCTGTCTTTTAAGATCTCAAGTTATGACTGTCAATCTATACTAAGGTATCTCCCTGAAAAAACAGGGAGATTTGTAACAAGCACAACAATCTTCGTCTCCTACCTTTGCTTTATTAGCTTCTCGTTTTGCCTCCCCAGCCAAGCTTCCAACCATAGCATCTATCTGCTGTTTACTGCGAGGCATTCCATCAAAGATATCAATGTAAAGATGCTCCTGAACAATGTTCCAGATCTGATTGTTCTGCTTTTCCTGAAGATGCCTCTTCAGGAGCTGGTAAGAGTCACGGGAAATGCGCAGCACAAACTTGCTTGTTCGGAAATCCAGCATGGTCTCGTTACCTTTCATATGCTCCTTTTTGGTTAAGCTCGACAATACACGCAGGTCATCCTGGTAATAGCACTCCTGATCCCCATGAAACCTATTGAAACAATTTAAAATATGGTAAAAGGCTTAGTCACTCAACTTGTTATAACTATTTACAGAACTATTTGAAGGGAAATAAAGTTATCTTTTCGGATTGAAGTATTTCACAATTGGTCTGAATCCAAAAAAAAAAATTAAATTCTATTTTCTTCTCAAGTGATAAACAAGTGAAACATAGTAAGAATACAGAAAGTTACAGATTAGCCAGAAATTAATTTCTTTAAGCTCATTTAAAGAATTTCAATGTGCATCCTACAATATCAGCAAATACTTATAGCATTCATTATTTTGGCATCTCAGTGCAATCTTCCAGTGATAAAAATTGACCCCACAATCTTTTCCTAAAGATGCAGAATCTCTTCATTGATACTTCTGCAGCAAGGAGCCCATCAGCACATCATTAACATGGTTCAAACTCTGACAATGCACAGTTCACTAGTTAGCACATCTTTCTAACAGGAGATTGGAAAAGAATTTAAGAACAGTTACTACAACCCATGGCACTGTTACTTGAGATTTCAAATCTCTTCAATTTTAAAGAAGAATAATACATACACATGTGTATGTATACAAATAGCTCACAGATTTAACCGAAGTAGCAAACACAAAATAACACAAATGTACAAATGAAAATGAGTTACCTTTCAAAAAAAGACTTTGCCTCACTCTCATGTTGATTGTAGACCAACTCCAAATACATGTGCACAAAGAGAGGATAAAAGAGCTGAGACAATTCTGCCCGATGGCAGTCCAGGGAGCACTCGATGAAGTGTTTCAATCCGCTGTAGTACTCCTCGTACAGCGTCGGGTCCCCTTGCTGGTTGTAGGCCGACAGCACCGCGCTCACGTCCGGCTGATCCTCCACAACCACCACGCCTCCGACTGCAAAAGCACCAGCCAACAACAACAGCTGCTCAGACAGTCTGCAAGAGCCAGCAAACAAACAGTGCCCACAACCCCTGGTCAGGTGAGCAAAACGCTGTGCCAAGCAGCACCAAGTCTAAACAACACAGGTGAGAGCACATTGGTCCAGCAGCCAATTCTCTCCAGCAGTTTTTTGGACTCTCCCTGCCAACTGTTGCCAGTTTATGCCTAATTCAGCCTGGATTTTAAGTGTAAAGGAAGAAGCCACTAACATCACCTGAATGAGTTATTTTACTGCTAGGGCTAGAAACTCTTAACCAAGGAGCAGAATGCAAGACATGCCTACTATAATAACTTTGCTTCCAGTAAATAAGCAAGTTAAGTAGACTAAGTGAACAATTCACCAAGACCACCATACAACCATCACAGAACAGGGACACTTAACTGCTGTTTTACACAGCAGTTTTTACACATTTCCATTATTTTGTCTTTTAGATAAAAACAGTAGTATCTGGTGATGTCACGAACAGGCTGACTTTATGCTGTACACTTACTGGAACTCAGACTAGCAGTTCCTGAAATTCCATTATTCAGTAAAGCTGCCTCACAGAACACCTTGATTAACAACAATAAGAATTGAATTATCCAAAGGACATCCCAAGTACTCAGAAACTCGATAAAGAAATACAGAAAGCCTTGCCTAGAAATATTCCGTGGCTCCTTCACCAAAACGCAGCCCGTACATCAGATCTCTGTTCTCAACCCCGCAGTCAGACCCGGGACAATCCCCACTAACTTCAATGGAAACCTCCTATTCCTGATACACTATCAGCTGTGATGGAACAAACACAAGCGGGAGCACTTCTCGCTTCACAGTGCTCCCTGCAAATGCGAGAGACACCCTGTCCTTGGTCCCCTGCTCCAGGACATACGGATTTCTCCACGGATTATATGGAGAAATGAGACATCCAGGGACCTCCCGGAACGCCGGAGTAGACTCGGTGGTGCCGAGATCCTGACACCGACCCGTGTCCCAGCATAACGGAGAGCCGCCGAGGCTGCGAGCAGCACACGGGCTCCAAACTTCCCGGGGTTCCCGCCGAGGAGGGGCCGACCCCGCAGACCTCACCTTTCCCCGGCGGCACGGCGGCAACCGCAGCCACCCCGGGGCTGGAAGTCGCGACAGCGGCGACGCTGCCTCCTATGGCGACGGCAGCAGCGCCGGAGCCCCGGCCGAGCAGCGCCTCGCCGGAGTCCGCCTCGCTGCCGGAGCCCCCCAGGAGCCCGGCGCTGGTGGGACTGAGCGCGGTGGCACCCAGGTCGTCGCCGAGCAGGCGGGCTTCGCGACGCAGGATCTCCTCGGACTCGCGGAGGTTGCTGCGCCGCAGGAACTGCAGCACGGCCACAAGCGTCTGCCGGTCCAACGCCGCCGGGGAGGCGGCCGGGCCCGGCGCTGCGGGCTTCAGGGGTGCCGCATCCCCACCGGCTCCCGTCGCCTCTCCCTCCACCACGGTGGCCGGGGCGGCGGCGGGGGCGGCGGCGGGAGGCACCGCGGGCGGCGGCGGCGGCGTCCCCGCCTCGGGGTCCGGCTGCACCGCCGCCACCTCTGCCGGCTCCTCATGCAGCGCCGCCATCTTGCGCCGCCTTCCATTCGCCGGCGGCGCGCCGCCGCCGCCAAGCGCGGCCGCCCTCGCGACAGTGAGGGCAAAGGAAGGGCACCGCTGCCGCTGTCTCCGCAGGCACGCGCGGCTTCGTTTTGCGACGCTGTCGGGAGCGCTTTGCGGCAGCGGGGGCGCGGTGCGGGCGGCGGCGGCGGCGGGGCGGTGTGAGGGGACGGGGCCGTGTGAGGGGACGGGGCCGTGTGGGCAGTGCGGGACTCCCTGGGGTGCACCGAGCGTGGCCTTGGGACTTTGTGCCTTAGGGGATGGGCCGCTGAATTGTCCAGATATTTCTAATACTGCTTCTTTTAATTGTGTCTGTTAAACAGAGGTTTGGTGATACTTGTCGAAAGGCTGAGATGACTGGTGGTGTTCAGCCTGGAGGAAAAAGGTTTCCAGGGAGACCTTACAGCACCTTCCAGTGTCTAAAGGGGCTACAAGAGAGCTGGAGAGGGACTTTGGACAAGGGCACGCAGTGACGGGGCAGGGGAGAATGGCTTTAAACTGATATAAAGCAGGTTCAGATTAGGTATTAGGAAGAAGTTCTTTACTGTGAGAGTGGTGAGGCACTGGCACAGGTTGCTCAGAGAAGCTGCGGATGCCCCAGCCCTGGAACTGTTTCGGGACACGTTGGATGGGGCTTTGAAGAATTTGCTCTAGTCGGGGTTGTCCCTGCCCATGGCAGGCTGTTGGAACTAGATGATTTCTAAGGTCCCTTGCAACCGAAACAAATTCGTTATTTTACAGAATTAAAACCTTATTTTGAATGAAACTAGTATTGTGTGATTGAGAATCTTTCGGGGAAAATTAAGCGTTAATTGGCGAGTCCTTGGGGGGAAAAAAAACCCAAAAACGTGGGGATATAAACTATAAACAGGCTGTGCTTAGCGCACGTGCGGTAGCGCAGCCGTGCGTTCTTTAGGACTACATTTCCCAGCGTGTCCCGCGCGGCCCCGCGCATGCGCCCCGGGCCGTGGACTGACCCGTGCCAGCCCCGGTCCGTGGCCATGGAGGGAGACACCGGATCCGGGGTCCCGGCGCTGACGGGCGCGGATGGAGCGGGCCAGGGCCAGGGTCTGGGCCCGGGCCCGGCCGATGAGGACCGGGACATTGAGGGGGCCCCCAGCTGCTCGGGGTCGCGCTCCCATCCCTTCGAGTTCGAGCGGGGTCGCTCGGAGTCCAGCGGCGATGAGGACGACGACGACGAAGACGACGAGGAAGAAGAGGTGGAGGAGGAGGAGGAGATGGAAGGCGACAGCAGGGCTCGGTTCGGAGCGGATGATGGGGAGCTGGACTCGGACGACGACCGGGAGGTAAAGGGGGCCGGGAGGGTCCCCGGGGCACGCCAGGCCCCGCTCCCGGCGTGCCCCGCGTGTGGTAATGGGCTTTTAATTATTTTTGCTATTTAAAAAAAAAATTATTTTAGTGTTTATTTTACTATTACACGAGTTCACTTCATCTATCTCATTTAAGTAAAGCCCTTACAAACTCTCGGCGTGGCTGAGAGGGTGGTAGACGGTGGCACGTGGGCGAAATGAATGGTGTTATTGAGGGAAAGAAAGCCCTTTAGTCGGGCTTTGAGACGACAGGAAATGTAAGAATCTAACGTGTCACCGCTTTCAGACACATCTCAGATCGTCGCTATCGAAGAAATTTTTTCTTTTTTTCGAAATAGTGTTATTCAGCCAGGAAAGCTGTTTTGGAACTACTTGTGTGCGTTCCTGGTAAATGTTCTTCATGACCAGGATTCAAAGGAGTAAAATTTCAACCTTTTCTTCTATGTGTATTTATATAATCCATAACCGAGTGTACAAACAAGAGCTGACTCTCTTCTCATACAAACCCTTTCTATATCTTGATTTGGGGCTCCAACTGAGCATTGCTGAGCATTTTCAAATAACGATGTTGTTTGCCACCCATATCCTCTTCAAGCTTGCTGGCTATGTGATATTTTGTTAAAAGAGTTTATCCAAAAGAACTCTTCCCAAAACGATTGTTTAAAGTTTTCTTTTTAGGTGTGATTAATGAAACAAATTGGATCACTGTTGTCAAAAAGTTCAATTTAGAAGACTAGGTAAAAAGTCTTTAAAAAAATGAGCTCTATATTACTAGCAACTGATTTGTTAGGAAAACCCATTCCTCTAACATGCTGATCCCATTTTTTTCCCTTGGTTTTAAGGCTATGGTATTTTGGAAGCTGCAGTCAAGGAATTTCATGGCTTAGCTTGTGTATTCAAGCTCTCACCTATTTTTGTTTGCAGCGTATGATAAACCTTGCAGAGTTGACGCCCTACATCCTCTGTTCCATCTGCAAAGGTTACTTTATCGATGCTACAACTATTACAGAATGTCTGCACACCTGTAAGTATCTGTCAGTATTGTTTGTCTAAGAGTTTAGTTGCAAATTCAAGCCAATTCAGCTCTTGAAATGTTCTGAGTTCAGAAAAATAATTCTCTGTTTGAAGTGAATGTGTGTTGTGTTTATTCTGCTCCTTAAGCAGGATATATTTGTGGGTATTTTAAGTATCAGAAAATTATTTAATCAATTTTGAAGTCAGCTTTCCATATTAAGAAGGAAGAAGATGTAGGACAAGATAAAGCCCAAGTAAGACAGAAGCAGAGCTACTACATATATTTTCTTAATTTTTTAATTTAAATAGGCTCTGGGAATTTGAGTGTATAACTGAGAAAAGAAAGTTGAGTGGCTCTGCTTTTAATGGACTGGATAGTTTCCTAAGCTGTTATTGACGTGAGCTTGTAAATCCACAAAACCCCATAGCTCCTGTGGAAGTACCAGTTCAGATACAGAAACACTGGTCTGCACCCGTGGGACAGTTTGTCCATAATCTGATGAATACAAACAGGTGGGAAATAAATAACTGATTTCAATGTGCTTGTCTAGTTATTTTTCCCCCTGGATCCTAGTGCCAACAATTTTCCCAGAGCTAAAGAACTGTTTTCTCTCTAAACTAATAAAACACCTTCTGTGAAGCTCTTTCAGCCACACTCATGTTCATACCTGAATCTAAGAATCCTGGTTTACTAGATCTCCCAAACATTCACACTGTATAGAGGGAAAACTTTCTTTATCTCTCTTTTTTTTTTTTTTCCCTTTGTGGAGCACCACCCACTAGTTTGTTATGTAATACAAAGTATTCAGCACAGTTTGCAATTTACAAAGAGGCACAAATGTTAATAAGGACAGCATAAAGTTGCAAATGCAACTGTGGTGGTGTCTTAGAACTTTCCTGATCAATGTTACAGAAAAGTTTCCTCTGTTCAGGCGGACGGGGACCTGACTTGATAGTAGGATATTTATTCTAGGTATTTCTACTTAGTAGCATTCCTTCCAAGTCTTTAAAGGACTTGTAAAACACAGTGAAAATGGCAGAGTTATGATTTCTAACCTTGTTTCTACTGAAGGTGTTAGTAGGATGCTTTTCAGCAGTCAGTACTCTGCCTTATCCCTACTCAGGTTCTACACACACATTGAACATTCAGCAGGCATCCATTGCATTAGCAGTGTTCAGTGACTTCATTTTGTCTCTGAGAAATTTTTTATGGGAAGTATTTATGGGTGCATTTACCCCTTCTGCCTGAGCCGATGGCACTGTGTAATGGACATGTGACTGCTATGGGGTTTCTTTTCTTTACAGTTTGTAAAAGCTGCATCGTAAGACACTTCTACTATAGCAACAGATGTCCAAAGTGCAATATTGTTGTGCATCAGACACAGCCCCTCTATAATATCAGGTAATGAATTTGTCCCATTTTTATAGATTTGCTACTTGCTTTTATATGTTTAATTTTACAGACTCATAGTCCTTTCCTATTTTAAACAAAGGAATGGTTACAAGAAACACATTGTGTTCTTCACTAGCATGAGTTTCACTACAATAATTGAGATAAAAAGACTCTCATTATTGTTTTGTCTAGTTTGTATCAATTTCTAGGGTTTGTTACTCCTACCCTGGAAATTTTTGTGCATTTACTCAGTGTTATAGGTGATTCAAACACTTAACCATTTGCTTTTATTTCCCTTTTAAGATGAAGACTTTTTGGTATGGTATATTTATTAATTAAAAAAATTGAGATTTAGTTTCTTGAGCTGTTCGTGAAAGGTGGTGCTGTCACTCCGTGTACGTCCCATTTCAATGTTATGTTTGGCATCTTTGTTACAGTTTACTGAAGCCATTTTGTCTTGCACCAAAGACTCTTCTTTTTTGTTGTTTCATATTTCCTAGACTGGACCGACAGCTGCAAGATATAGTCTATAAATTAGTTGTCAACCTGGAGGAAAGTAAGTCCCTTTCTCTGTTACATTACTATCTAGAGATTGAAAAGAACAGAAAACAGAGTAATTCAAAGCCTTGTTACTACTCTGGATTCTTCAATTTTGTGATGTTTGGTTATAAGTTGTAATGAATTAACTGTGACAACTGGCATCTTTCTGACTGCTAAATGCTATTGTGGTAGTGGTGTGTACCTTATCTCATGAAACACATCTGTCACTGCATCCAGATAAATATGCAGATAATATTTCACAGTTGTTCCTCTTACTTTAGTAGAACTATATCATATCATTCTGTGTAAAATGTTTACTTGGCTCAGTAGAAAAAAAATTCCAAGACCAATTCTCTCAAATACTTTTATTTTTGCCTCATTGCCGTATTTGCTTGTCTGATTTTAGATGTGTTTACTGTCTCATCTCATTTATCTTCAACTTTGAGAGCCAGTGATCCTGCACAATCCCCCTGGATGGGCTGAGTGAAATATACAATCCAGTGGATATGTATGGACTATAGATGGTATTGCTTTGTATACCATGAGCATATATGTAAAAAAAAAAAAATACGTGTGATATGAACATATATGTGTATATACAAATATAGTATAAAAGTACTGTGCTCTGTGTGAACAGCTTATAGAATACCATGTCATGTCATGAGGCATGACAGCCAGAAGGATACTAGTTCTTGCATCTATTTCAGTATTATTTATGGCCAGTTTCTCTGATTTTTTTCCCAGTTTTTACTAACAAAATTTTAGTCTGGGTTTCTTAAGTATCTCAGCCTCATGAAATACTAGTGATGGTGAAAGTCTGTAGAAACTTGGAAAGTTTTTGCTGCTCTAACCATTAATAGTTGGTCACTGAGAATGGATATTCTCAGCATCTGAAACATTTCCATCTGTATTTTGCATTTTTTTTCAGGAGAGAAAAAACAAATGCATGACTTCTATAAAGAAAGAGGATTAGAAGTGCCCAAACCAGGTGAGCTGTAATCACTTTAAGAAACACTGTTAAGAAAATACTTACTATATAGTTTATTCTTAAGGGCTTTCTTCAAAATATTAGTTCACCACTGAAGATGGAAGTACTACTGGAAATATGGGATTCTAAATTATCTGGAAATTATAATTTCTCACAGATCTCAGATTACAAAAATAGATGAATTGGCCTGATCATGGTTGAATTATTTTAAACTACATATTTTGCTTACAACCAGGAAATATATATAAAATGTCCATTAATGTTATTTTCTGGCTGTTAATAAGTAATAATAATAAGACTTTACAAAGGTGTAAAAATGAGAGCTTTGAAGTTTGCTGAACAGTGGGGGATTATTCTAATTATTTTGTGTCTTCCTATCAAACAAAGTTCTTTGGAGAGTGCTGTGCTGAAAGCTATTAAAATTCTGGTTCAGATACAGAGCATAGAAAGTAGGAAGAGCTGATTTAGTAGTAAAAAGAGAGGATGAATTGCATGGTCTTTTTTACCTGGAGAGCTATTCTGTTTTGCTCAGTGCATGTTAGTATCTTATGCTGCTTTTATTTCAAGTTATCTTTGCATTTTGGCTACTTGAATATTTTAGCTGTCCCACAGCCAGTTCCACCGAGCAGAGGAAGACCCCGAAAAGTTCTGGGCTCTGTGTTCCGGATCCCACCAGAACTTGACATTTCCATACTTCTGGAGTTTATTGGGTGAGTTGTGGGCAAATGTAAGAGCAACTGACTGGCATAAGGGTGCTGCTAGCATGTGATGAACCATTAACTGGCTCTTGGTTTTCATTAAATGTGCATTTCTTCAATCTCAAATAGTAGTGGGGAGCCAGTTTTAACTTACAGTGCACTAGTGACAGCCAGCTATGCACAGGTAGATGATGCAGATAATGAAATTTTTAATATGTAGCTTCCTAGGAAGTATAGTTTTAAAATGTAGATGTGTGTGATTTTTAACAAAGTCGTGGAGTCTCAGTAAACCGAGCAGAGAAATCCCTGTCCGTTCCAGTCCCTGATCCCTGTAGGTGGCAGCACCGTTAACGCTGGATGTGCTCGCAGGAAGTTCTCAGTGGCTTTCAAATAATAGAAAGTGTTTAATGTTGTGAATCCACATACCTGCCTTAATTTCAGTTTTCATTTTCTTCATGCCTGACTTCCAGAAGTCAATTTAGACCTCAAACCTAGTAAACTTGTATCTGCCTGAGAAACAAGATGCCTTTTGAATCTGTCTGTTGTATTTGGTTTTTTGGTAGTTTTATTTTAAATGTCCAGCATTGGCAGCAAAGCAGGCAATACTGTGCAAATAACATCTATACCATATGGAACTGTCCACTGTGGTTTTGTTATTTATATGGAGGGAAGCACAACATTTTTCTAACAAAAAAAAGATGATGGTTTAACAGCATCTACTTTGTATTTTATTTTAGTGACTTTTTTAACCTTTGATAATTTATATGGTCAAAATCAAGAGATTATTACTCTCTCATTGCCAAGATAAAGCATTTTGGAGAAAGAAAATTTGGAATGGATTGGACCAGCCAAAATAAATTGTTACCTTGAAAGTCTGACTGTCTACATTTTGTCTCTACAGTTTATAATGTGATTGCAGGTGGCTGTGGAACTATATCAAAGAAAATGCCATCTGTAGTGGAAAAGCTTTTTTTATGTTTGTTTCTTAGCTCGTGACAGATTTACTTAGCTCTGTCTGGTACCTGATACATATTTAGAGGTGGAGATAATCATAGTAACTTGAAGTGCCATGTTAATGTGTGGTCTGCACATGTGTTTTATTTGCTTGCTATAGCAAATGTCAGCTGATTTATAGCAATGTTTGATTTTTTGCCATCTCCAGTGCAGTGAAAATACTGCACTGTTTCCTCTGTCATATGTATGTACTTGCTAATGCAATGCAAGAATAATGAAATGTCATGTATGTGCCTTAATTAATTGAGAAGTTTACACATTGCACTACAGGAAGGAGATGGGTGATCATTGATAGGTCACATGCTCAGGCTGTGCAAATCAGTGAACCTGTGCTGAAGCCAGCTGGAAATTTGGTTATTTGCCACCTTTGTATTTCACATTCCAGAGAAACACATGCTGCTTTCCCGAGTTCCTGGACAGCATTAGCATTAATCCTATGCTATCTGTGCTTCATATACTATAATACTATGTTCATATGAACAGTCTGGAAGGCCAACATCTTGCCCAGGGAGCCCCTGAAGTGGCTGGGTGTGTTCTGTCAGTAACTTCTTAAATACTGTCTGTTAAGCTTCCAGATATCAAGGATCATGATGTATGGATCATCATTAAGCAGCATCAATATTGCAACCTACTCCTATGAAAATTAGTGTTATGTTGTGTTTTAAAATGGCTTTAGGCTGCACTGGTTTTTATTCACATTTTATGTATAGAAATCTTGGCATCCTAAATAGCTGAATTTACAAGAAAAAATGGAGCAGAAATACAAGGGGTAGGAGAAAAAGAAAAATTCAATCTGGTATTATTTTGTGTATAGCAATTTAATGAAAAGAAGAGCCTGAGTTGGGAAAATAAGTTGGATATGCAAGACTCATAAATCAATAAGTCACTTATAATAAAGAGCTTGAGGATATTAATAACTGATAATCTTAGTAATGTTGACTATTTACTCTTTTTTTTTTTTCAGAGCTAATGAAGGCGCAGGGAATTTTAAGGTACAAATGTGATTAAAATTTTGTCTTACAATTTACTTCAGGAATAATTATAACCTGAGTATATTTCATTTAGTTTGGTTTTCCTATACTGAGTGCAACTGGAGCTTTCATCAGAGTAATAATAACCAATCTTGTATTGGGGTGTATTTCAAACCTATTGTTGTATGACATCACACCTACCCAGCATTTTTTTATTCTTTTTATCCTCATATTTCACAATATCTTTTTTTATTTTCAGTATCACCTCCTACTCTTTCTGTCTCATATTTGCCCTTCTTTCTGCCTTGTTTTTCCTGGGGTTTTTGGTGTGCACAGAACATAGGACTGTTTAAATAATTTTAAAAATACTCAGTTGCATATTATTTTTTAAATGTTTAAACAGCATTTGTTACATTTAAATGTATTTAGTCCATTCCCTATGAGGTAATCTGCAGGTAGATCAGAGAAGGGTTCAAAAATGTAAGCTGTTTCCCTGTTATTGGGCTGCTGCTTGAGTTTGGAGGGATTAGTGCCCAAACCCTTGACTTTAACTCAACTCTCACTTAAAATCTTTATTTATTCTGTGCAGCCTTTGGAAAAGAAGTTTGTGCGTGTTTCTGGGGAGGCAACAATTGGCCATGTGGAGAAATTCCTCAGAAGAAAAATGGATCTAGACCCTGCTTGTCAGGTACATCACATTACTGCAGCAGTCACAAGTTGTCTGTGCTTTGGACAGATATTTCCATTGTTCATTAGATTCTAGAAGTAATGTTATACAGTAAGGATTGAAAAATTAATTGTCTGCAATTTTGTGATCTGCAATGAGCAACTCTTCTAATTCATTTGCAACCTATTCAGATTTTCATAGTACTGCACTAGCTGGATAGAATTTCTAAAGTGCCTTGTAAAATTTCAGCCAAAGAAATTCAAAGCCAAGGGATTCTGCTGTTTCAAAGGTAAAACTAAACAGGAAAGTGGGAATGTTGGGAGCATGCAAAGGCAGAGGCAGATGCAAGCTGAATAATAGTAAAATTTAACTGAAGGCAAACAAGGCCTAAGAAAGAATTATACTATAGATGGATGTGTTGAAATGTGTATGAATGCAAATACAGACACTTTCCTCCAAATAAGAGTCCAAAGGAACAGAATATAGTACAAAATTATTTAGCTTCATATTTCTTAACCATTTTGAGAGGAGATGCATGTCAAAAACAGTTTCCAATTCTTCTGTGTATTTCAGCAGCCATTCAGTTAGGAAAGTGCATGAGTGAAGCTGATAGTTTGTTGGCAAACATGCAGAAAGTGAAAGATATCAGATATGCCATTGAGGATTAATAAGCCTAATGAGTCACGTCTTACTCCAGCTACCCAGGATGGCTAATAAACTGTAAAACAAAATTAGGCAGAACCTGATTCTGAATTAGCACAAGCAGAAAAATTTAGAGAACTAGGTTACAAACCATATGTGCAAATAATTTAAATGTAGAAGATTCTTTGCTGCTTTTTTAGTTTGCTCTAGAAATTTGGAAGTGTTGAGGACTGCAGTGGTTCATTTCCTCTCAGCTTCCCTAAGTATGTTAAAAAAGAAATAGATACTAACTTCAGACAACAAGCTCTTCCTTTTAATATTACTTCTTTAGTCTTAATTTCAAACTCTTCATTGCCTAAAATAATCAATTTTTATATAAAATGTCTTGAGTTTGGTGTGTTTAGTTTGGGACTGGAGCCCAAGAATTTGATTTCCTTGGGAAGCTTGGAAGTTTCTTTCAGAAACTTACGTTTCAGACATATTGAGCTAAAATGCACTACATTTGCAGTACTTTTTACTACATTTACCTACAAAAAACTTATTGCAACAGTGTTGAGTTGTGTCTTACTTGGGACTTCAAAAGATTTGACTGTAAGGAAGGCACAGAGTGTTTCCTCTTTTATTTCCTTAGTATATCAGTTGCATTTTTGGTTTCGTTGTTGGAACTTCTCGTAAGGACACTAGGTGTGGTTGTTTCATGAGTGCAGTCAGTTCCTACTGAATATCAGCTTAGTTTGACAGTCTGCAAAAGTACTATTTGAGAATGTTTCAGTTATTCCCTGTTATAGCTCATTTGGGGACCAAGTGGTAGAAGGTATGTCACCCAACCCCTGAACTCCTGGCTCTGCATGGACATCTCTGACTTTCTCTTTTCGTGTGGAATATGAGCTAATACTTGCCCTTCTTCATTGACCTGCACAAGTGCAATGGATTTAGGTTAATGAAAATGTGAAATAAGCCATCTGGCTTGTGTGTGGCAGTATATATAGAAGTCTAAAAAGCAGTTTTGAAGTTACTGCCTTTGTTCTTTTTTTTCTATTCTGAGACTTCAAATTGCTTTCAGACTTCTTTAATTGCATTTGTAAATGGATTAGGATTTAAATTCCCTAGTTTATATGAAGGTTAAGGCTTCATTTATTTTCATCTACCACTTGAGCTGGCAGACTGTAGTTTCCTCTTTATCGTGCTTTGTTTTGAACTCTGTGCTTTGGGCAATGACTAATTTTCTGTATGTTTTTATGTATACTTCTAATAACAAGGTCTCTCTTGAATATTCTTGCTGGAATTTGTTGGGAGAGAGTGAATATATATTTTAGAAACCAGAATTGCCAGTAATAGCTAAGTAGGTAACATCTGATAGGAGCTAAATACAGGTTGTGGTGTTTGGAACCCAGTAGATTCTTGTCTTTGGCATCAGAAGTTTTCTTTAGAGTGTGATTTCCTTTGAGCTCCTCCTGCAACAGCAGTATTATTCTTCCTGTTGTTTATTCTGTAAGGATGAGAGAAGCTGCTGAAAGACTTGCAGCTCAGCTGCTTGGAATTCATTAATGTGGCTGATGGAACAGGAATGTTCTGTTACCAGATGTGCATTCCTAAAAGTGTGTGAACTGCAGTCTGGTAGAGACTGGGAGAAAGGATTCTGTGCTCATACACAGTGTAGTTGTTGATGCAATTTCTTTATGCCAGTCTTGGACCCTGGAATATAAGCATCCAAGGCCTCTGGAAAAGAAAACAGAGGAAATGGGAAATTCTGACAGCTTTTTAAATAACTAGCTCAAATACTCATGTCAGTCTCTAAAACTTTGTGTTTTCCTTGCCCTTCCCTGGGTAGTATGAGTTGGTATAGAAAATGAAAATTGAAGCCTACTGCTTTCTGGGCCAAATTCTCCCTTAGGATGAGTCTTATGTGAGGTGTCCCTTGCATGAATTTTTTCTATTTTTATATCTGTCTTACTTAGTGAGCATGAATTTATAATTGTCTGTTATGGTGGCTTTTAGAGAAATAGCTCTAATAGCAGACATGTCACTAAAAGAAAAGAAATGGCATAATGGAAAACTTACTTTTTTTAAATAAGAATTTTAACAGAAGTGACTGAGTATTCAGCAGATCACCTTCATGCTTCTTTTCAAATGTCAAGCTACAGTTAATGTCTCAGGCAATCAGTACTAGTTGGCTTCAATTTTACCAGTCATTTGAAATTTTAATAAATTCTTAGTACTGATGGTGCTGGTGCCTCCTTTGTAATGGAACATATTAATTCCTGTATGACACAAGGATTCCTCTGAGACACATTTCACAACTTATTTTTGCACTGACCTGTGATTTTTTTTTTTTTTCATTGTATGTTTTATTCTCTTGTCCTTATAGAATGAGTGCTAGCATAACAATTAGCAGGCAGAATTTCAGGCTTTGGGGCTGGAATTAGGAGATTAAGCATTTGGTATTTGGAGAACTCTAATACAGTAAATGTGAGAAACTCTTCTCAATTTATTATTAGACACTGGCTCTTTAATGACTGCTGTTTGAAACTGGAGCAGCAGGTACAAGAGTGTACTTTCAAACAAGCATTCTAATTCTGTTTTGAGAGATTATCAGCAGCTGCAGCTGTCTGTTTGCATCCTGTGTTGGTCAAACAGATTAGATTTTCTATTTCTGTAGAATATATAAAGCATTTATGTGATATGTTTCATTGGGAGCAAGAGTGAGTTTTCAGTGTGTTATGCTATAAAAATTGTAGAAGGAAGCTTACAAAGCAAAAGTCGTTAAACTCATATGTCTGGAAAGCAAAGCAGTCATGTTTGTCTTCCTGCAGTAATAACTGTAGAGGTTAAGAATGCATAGAAGATAGCAGAAAAAACTGCATACAGTTTTCCAAAAGGAAAATAAATACATTTTCTGAGTACTGTGTTGAATACATCAGGTGATGATGTTAAATATATGAATATATATGGATCAATAGCTAATCAGTATTTACTGTTATGTACACACCGATTTTTACTTCCTGGTTTCCTCCTGGAAGGTAAAAGCAGAAGTGCAACTGAGCAGTTTACATCTTCTGCACATTAAGAATCAAACACGAGGAGAGTATTCTGCTTCATTCTCATTCAGTTCGAGTGATACAGTAAATTAGTCCTTTTTGAACCTCTGAGGAGTAGAATTCCCGCATTCCCTAGTCTCAGAACAATGTGGTCTGCCAGCATAAATCTTACTAAATCTTTCCATGAAGAACAAGAGAGAGGTGGTGGGTCACCCTGCAGAAGAAAATAAATCTGGGGGAGTGGAACAGCTGCAGCACAGAGCACATCCTGTGGTGGAAAGTGGCTGTATGAGACAATACGTCATGATATTGCAGTGTGCTCCCCCACTGCTGCAGGGACAGAGCTCAGGCAGTTCCCTTGCAGAAAGCTGTGGGACTGCTCCTTGTCAATGCTCTTATCTTCAATTTTGAGGTCTTGTCAATTCACAGATGAGAGCACTTTCATTTCCTTATCTAAAAATTGCTCATAAGGAAAATGTAAGCAAGCTCCAGCTGAGAGAGAAAAACAGTGCTGTGTTAGCTGCTCTAATTTGGAATGTTAGAGACTGGATTTACAATAAGCACTGTAAATACATGGTAACTTTATAGAGAAGCCTTTTTCATAATTAGCAAGGCAAGGAATTCAAAATACCTGATTAAGGTTTGTGTTTTCCACAGAATTACTGTTTTTGTGGGCAGTTACTAAATGAAAGTGCCTCCTGTGGAATTGCAGGCACCACTGAGAGAGTTCAGCTGCAGTAGAGGACAATGCATGGAGCTGCTGAGTATGCCCTGCAGCTGCACCCCAGCAATACTGACTGAGTGCATGCTGAAAGAGGACTGTGATGTAACTGCTGACAGTGGCAAGCACCAAGATACTCTTTTCTATTAAGGCACTTCTTCCACAGTATTAAGTGGAAATAGTCAGGTGTTTTCTCCTCAAGATAAGAAAGAGGATGGCACCTTTGTTTTTTTTCTTTTTTTTTTGGTGGCACAGACAAGTTTCCCTCTTTTGCAACCAATGAATGATGGCAGATGTTTGTGTGATAATTTTAATACATGATCTAAATTCCCATTAAATTCATCACAGCTATTACTAAATAGCTTGTTTCAGTGGACACACCAAACTGAGTGGAACAATAAACTGTCCTCTTTGTTCAGCAGTGAGCCCAGGTCAGGGCCATGGAAGGCTTTAGGGCAGTGCAGTAGTGCTGTGAATGCTAAATACATTTGGACAACAGAGGTAAAGGTGGTTTTAGTGTCTAACATGTTAGTATTGAACTCTGCTAATAAAATTGAAAGGGATTGGATACTGTTTTGCTACTACAAAGGCAAGTTGGCCTTAACCATGCTTGTGTTTTTTCACAGGTGGATATAATATGTGGTGATCACCTGCTGGAGCACTACCAGACACTGAGGGAAATTCGTCAGGTCATAGGAGAGAGTGCAGTACAGGTACATGGCAGCTGGGGCTTTGTTCCAGGTTTTCTATTTCAAAACAGAGGACCTCTATTAAGCCCTCAGGTAGCACCAGCTTGTCTGAAGAAGTCACTAAGAAAAATCTCTCCAGTCTATGCAAAATCATTTTTATCTTGTAAGTAGAGTTGACAAGTGTACCATGTTCTTCTTGGTCTCATGATGCTCTGGATATGAGGGGTTTGTGTTGGGTTTTGTTTTGGGGTTGTTTTTTCACCCCAAAACAAGTTGCTATCTTATCAGTGATAAAATGTACGAGGTCTTTCAATTAACATTTCTTGGTTTTCCTCTCTGGCAATTGCATCTCTCTGGGAAATCAGAGGACAAATCCCAAATAAGGCTATCCTTGTGACTTGGTCAGGAGAATAAACTTGCTTATAAAAACACAGACCACAGATAGAGGGTAATGAATGCAGTAAATGTGCCTGATGCATATTGTATTGGCTCTGGTCACAGCATGAGTGTATGGCTAGCTATTTCTTGTTGATAATTGGCTGACCTTAGTGTTGCTGGTTTTGCAAATAAGAATGCAATTTTTTTTTAATTCTTTGTGAATCTTTTCAAAGCACCTTTAAAGGATCACACCATTTTAGAAGTACTGCAGAAACAATTAAGTACTCTGCCAAGTGCATCATAAGATAGAGATGTAAAATTGTGATATGTGGCAAATTGTATCTTAATCTGAACTTGGAAGTCTGAAAAGTTAGTATTTAGTACAGTAGGAAGAAATAGGATTAGATCAGTATTTTGTTTGGAAAACAATCATTACAGATAGCAAAAGGGCTGAAATAGTAGCTGAATCAGCTCTCCTCACTTCTTTGTGCACACACATGCACAAACACATTTAAAATTCCTGCTGAGCTCTCTTATGCTATAGGAAGGCTTCTGTGTTGAGGGCAGGAAGTAAAAAGCTGAATTTTAGATCTCTTGGACTTTGCATCACTTGTACTTGGTTTGAGTCACTAGGAGGGGTCCCAGAGTCAGGGCAGAGGTGTTTGGCTCATGTATATATTGGCAGACATTAAAATCTATGAGGTTTGTGCTGTTTCTGCAGTTGAGGGGAATAAATGCCACACCTGATGTCTTAGCTGGTTTATAATAGCATGAAGAAGAAATGAAAACTTAGTCTAATCCAATTTGGGGAGCAGGGGATAGAAACTGGGAGGAAGTGGGTACTGGTAACCAACTTGTTGCTGACACTATGAGTCATTGTAAGTAAGTTCAGCAATCAGCACAAAGTGATGGAAGTGCCCTCTACTAGAAGCTTCAGTAAGTGGCAGGGGGATGATATATTTCTCAGTCCAGGGGTATAGTCAGATGTATGGTTTTAGACTTGAGCTTAGCACAAAAGCTTTTCGTGTATGAGAAATGCTCTTGGGGGAGCACGTCAAGGAGTACTGCAACAGTTTCATTTCTTGTCAGATCTGGGTCTGCCTGATTGATGTTTGGTGATAAAGTACCAGTCAGCAACTCCACGAAGAGAGCAGTTGTCTTGGGATGCATTCTCCACTGATGTTGCAAATCTCATTTATTACCAAATCAGTATGCTAGCAGTTAATTCTCTCAAGACTTCTGTATTGGACAAATAAATAGAAAAGAAACATCTTGGCTTATTGTGAAGTCTTGTTCTTTTATAGTCACTTTTAACAGGAAATTTGAAAGACCAGGTTCATCTTTAATTTCTCTTTATATTGTTAGAAGATCTCTAAGGATGCCAAATAGTTACAGTATGAATGTTGCTTCTTTTTTGATATTGAAATAATTGTGACATTTTCATGTTCTTTAGTCTAACATTATAATATTTCTAAAAAAAGAGGATGCATTTCTGTGATTAAAACACCTTGGAAAACATTTTTAGATAATTAACCATGGGAAAAAAAAATCCCAACGAATAGGTCAAGTCTAAAATGGTGAGGGTTGTTTGTTTCTCACCAGGATCTGAAATTCAGTAAGGGGCACAGTTGTCCTGGCCAGTGAAACTACAAGTACAGAGGAACATTTGATGAATTTTACATTAAACTCCAAGGGCATCTTGTGCCTTTGTAACTTTCCAGCCTTTCCAAATCAGTGCTGGAGTTTGGAATGTCCCTAACAGTTCTCACCAGAATGCTGAGACACTGTTCAATACTGCTGTTGTCATTTACAAGTTTCTGAGGTTCATTGTAGATGCTTCATGCAAAGAAAGCAGCTTCAGTAGCTACTTCTGCAACAGAAAGACATTTGAAGGAATAAACATTGGGCTCTTTTATTTAGATGAGTACAACCACTGTTAAAAGGAGAAAAATAACTGCTATTCTGAGTTACATTTTTCACTTGCAAATTCATTCATGTCAGCAGTTATTCTTTTTGCTTGGAAAAGTGATTATAAAAATGCAGATAAGTTTCTCTTGGCAAATATATTAACCTGCATTCTTTGGTAGCATTTGCAGCATCACATATGTTGTGTGTGATTTATTGTTCTGAACCATAATCACTGTGGTGCTCTTAGTGGCTCTTACTTACATTGAATGGTTCTTAAGATTTGTTTATGAAGGTTTTGGGTTTTGTATTTTTTTTTCCTACTGACTAGCACTGTGTAATGATGCCTTAGAGCCTGAGTGAATGAAAGTTTCCTGGAGGTGCAAGCTAGCAGAATTTTAGCTTTTCTGCATACATTTCTGCCTTTCCAACAAATGTGGGAAGACCAAATGTGATCTATCATAAAATAAATATTCCTGACACTGATCCCATAGTAACCTATTTGGATTGTTTTAATTGAAGTAAATAGGCAACTAGTTTTAGTGGTTGAATGTAAGCAATTAACATGTTCATTTCTGAGTAGTTGATAGAAAGCTAATAAAGAATCAAATAAATTTTGTTTAATCTTGTAGATGTCAAGATATTTTAGCATTTCTGAAATTGGGTGGTTGGTTAAATCTTCTTAATTATCTGGAAGTACGATTTCTAGCTCTGCTTAGGGCAAAAACTTAAAAAACCCACTGACAGAATTTATATAATAAGAAACAACTTTGCTAGTTTAATTGTTTTAGAACACTGTAAAACTTATGGACTTTACTGTAAGGAGTGATCAAACACACAGAGATTTTTAAAGGCTCAATTTTGTTACCAGGCATCCAGATCTGCCTGTAATTATGCATTTTATCAAGTAGCTGAGAAAGGAAGCTTATTAACTAAATGGGAATATAACTTCTTCCCAGTATTACCTTCCTCCCCTCTGCTGCACAAATGCAACCTGATCCAAGCTGCTGGTTATTTTCACTTGTCTAAAACGTGGCCCTCTCAGAGTTCTGCATCACTGATGGATATAATGAGCTCACACATGGGAAAAGCTAAAAGGAGAAGCTTCCTTGATGTCCTTGGCCCTTGGCACAGAGGTTTGGCAGACTATAATGGTCTCTTTGTAGCTCTCACCTTTTTGTAACCCAATGCTATTGTGCTGATTTTTTGGTCCCCTGAGCTAGTCAGGAAGACCTGTGCTCTGATTTAATTACTGTGACCTTCCAGCACACATTTCCTATGGAAGTGTTTTACTCTTTGCTATGGGGTTATTGAATTTGGAAAGTGGGGCACGTTTTGTTGCTGCTGCTCTTAGAACATCAAAAGGGGTTTATGCTCTGATGGTTTGGGCTGCCAGTTCCACTCTAAATTTTATAGTTGGGTGTAACAGGTGGGATCCTTTGCATTTTTTTAGGTCAGGGTCACAAATGTGTGTAAAAGGACACTGGAGAGCTTTGCTTTTCTTTTGTGCCTGAGTTTGCCTTGAGATTTGTAATGGGCAGTGAGAGCTCATTCTCTGTTTGGACTTCCTTTTAATAACAGTATCTAGAGAAAGCAGCTGAACATAGATAGAAATTTGTAATACTTTACAAATTAATCATTACAGGGTAAAAAGTGCCAGTACTGGGGTAACTCTCAGCTTCTCTTTGTAGAGAAGGAATTACAGTGGATTTAGCCTTGGGTTTAACAGGACTATTTCCTTTAAATGTCCTACTGCCAAATGTACAGTTTCAAAATTATTAATCAAAGAATACATTGTAGCATTTTCTTCTTGTATAAATATTTATTTCCTTGAAGAAACTGGAAAAGAGAGGAAAAACTGGTTTTGACCACAAATTTTCTCTGGAAATAAAGTTTTGAATGTGTTTTATTTTCTCTTTTGAAGAACTAGTGGGCACAAGGAATAAATACCTTTGTGAAGGTATAACATTTTCATGTGCTGAGAGGTTCCTGAGTAACGTCTTAACCTTTTCTGCAATGCTGCTATCCCAATTTGTGCTAATCACCTAGTGAGTTAAAGCTCCTGTATCCTTTCAGGAGTTAGCAATGGGTTCCTGGTTATTAACAGGGTGAGATAATGAAGAAAATTTAGTGAGTTGGTATTAATACATTATCTTACATCCTGTGTCTTAACAGATAAAAACATCTGAAGCAAAATACAGTAAAAATTCTAATATGTCAGTTGGTACTAATGTAGTTCTCTCTTCAAAAAATAACTTTTTATAAAGTCAGTCTATATAATGCAATGTCAGATTCCCAGTGGGTATGTGGTGGAAGCAGACTAAGTGCTGGGCCTTTCAGCAGCTGTCTGTGAATTAAGTGACTTAAGTAAGATTAATGGGTCAGAAGTGTCCTGTTTCACAGGTGAAAGGGATTTTTCATTATGTCAAGCAGTCTTTGAAGAGGAGAAACATGAGTTAATAAACTAATAGTTTGTCATTTGGAGGTTTTTTAATAATAATAATGCATTTATTATTTAATAAATTTATATAGTAGTAGTCTGAACTCTTGTGCTACAACTTTTGGCAGCACTTTCAAGAACTACTTAATGGATTACATTTTTTCCTGCTCCACAATACCATATGGAAATCAGCATGACCTGTAAACAAGTATGATGATAATGCCATTATAACTTTATTATAAAAGCAGTACCAAATTTTACTTTTTTTTTTAACACCGTTTTCCATCTCAAAGAGGAGAGGGGAATACAGTTATTTGCCTTGATACTTCTAGATTTGCATTCTCCATATGGAAGGGACACAGCATAAAATGGTGAGATTGTACCTGGGGTCCTGCCATGCAGCAGTTGTGACAGAAATGCCCTGGGAAGAAGGGAAAGTGCTATTGTGAGACAGTTTCTGTCTCTTCTCTCTAGGACGGTCTACTTGTACTGCACTATGGCCTGGTGGTGTCTCCACTAACTTAGAGGTGTCTGGAATATCAGAAGGCAAAGGAATCTGAAGTCATGGAGCTTCTTCAGTGCTGTTTCTCACCAAAGAAGTCATCGCATTTCCTGTGGCAGGAAGCAAGTGAAAGGAACCACCACTAACTGCTGTGTGCTTGTAATGTAACATCTGACTTCACCACTGTAAAAAATTGCAGCTTCCGTAAGTACAGCTGTAGATGTTGCTATGCTTCATGTTACTAATTACTGTCCTCAAATTTCACTCAGCTCAGGGAAATTAAATGCTCCAAGTAGCTATTTTTTTTACTTTCTAAAACCACAAGATTTCACAGGGTGAACAGCCTTTTTTTCGTCTAAGCTCTGAGATTTCTCTGGCTAAGTGTCTAGCTAGAATAGTGCTCTCAGGGATGATCTTCAATGAGCAGTATGATTAGTTTTGGGGAAGAGGTAGTCATTTGCCTAAAAAAAAATATACTGTGATCATCTGTCTTTGGATGTGATTTGGGGAGAGGAAGGAAACTTCAGAAATGCAGACCAAAATAGGTAGAAAATAATGCAGCATAAGCATTGTTTTTTGAGAAGTAGCATTAAATTTGTTGTTTTTCTTGAGGAAAGACAATTTTGTTTGCACTGGGAATATATTTGCTGGTAGTTTGGCTTATACCAAATGGTGGATCATGCATCTCTAGTCTGAATGGAGATGAGCTGGCTGTAAGCTGGTTAAACTATGCATGAAAAAAATAAAAGTAGCACCTCTTTCTACCTGCTTGCTGTATATAAAGTAATCACTGTCAATCTGCTATCATGTAAAATCCGTCAACTGACTTGACAGAAGCATAAATCCATTCACTTTAGCACATACCTCTCCAGCAGCTGTGAAAACAGTCACTTTTTCCACTCTTTCTAATGTGTTTTAGTGCATTGTAGTGGAGATCAGGGTTAAGTAATGTAGTACCTGCCTGTTACTACCAGATTCACAGAGGACATTAGGCGACTTTAATTTTAACATGTTAAAATCATAGGTTTTGTAACAAGTGCAACACTTCAAATTTTCTTCCGTTTGAGATTTCCACGTTGTCTTGTGCAGCATTAAGGACCAGAGGGCTCTGTGTGTTATGGTCGTGCTGCATACTGGGTCATCAGTGTGGGGATTCATGAAAGCTTCCATTAGGCACCAGGCTCCTTCCCTTCCCTACAGTCAGTGCAGGGAATGGGAGGAGATTCCTTTGTAGGGCACTTCAGGGCACTTAAGTTACACAGTGGTTAGGGTTGGACGGGCCTCTGGTGAGCACCCAGTCCAACCTCCCTGCAAAGGCTGGGTCACCCAGAGCAGGAGACACAGGAATGTCTCCAGAGGGAGACTCCACACCCTCCTTGGGCAGCCTGTTCAGTGCTCTGCCACCCTCAACGTAAAAATTTCTTCCTTCTTTCAGTCTTTCTTTCAGTCAGCTGGTGAGGCAGCAGCAGCAGCTGAGCTATGTCCAGGGGTGAGGGTTTGATTGAGCTGTACCAGAATTCTGGAGCTGGGGACACCTGAGCAGCAGCCCCAAGCTCCATCCAGACCTGGAAGCCCTTTACAGCCAGTCAGGCATGGAGGGGACATTTGAGTGTCCCTAAGGAGCAGAGCAACCCCTTGTGGCCTCTGCTGGACCCCCCCTCCAGGAGCTCCTTGTCCTCCCTGTACTGAGGATCCCAGAACTGGGCACAGCACTCCAGATGTGGCCTCACCAGGGCTGAGCAGAGGGGTGGGATCACTTCCCTTGGCCAGCTGGCCACACTCTTCCCAATGCACCCCCAGATTCCATTGGCCCTCCTGGCTGCAAGGGCTCAAATGTATTTCTTCACTGTCAGTCTAAGAGGACTGGCATCCTTTGTCTAAAGAAAGCTTTCATGAATCCTCCTTGAGGTCTTTACAGTAAACATTGTTTTGTCTGTGAAGGTGACACCATAAGAAAAAAAAGTTTTGTTTGAAGTAACTCTCATGATGCTTCTAAAAAATGCAACAAAAAGCCTTTTTAGCTACAAATTCCTATTTTACCTTTGAAGTTTGTATAAAAGTAGTGTTTAAAATGCAGCAGAAGATGAGATTATTTTGTAAAGACCTTGTGAGTTGTGTTGATAAAAGATTATATATTGTAACAGTAAAATAAACTTTATTTTAGCCAATTTAAAATTGAGCCCTTGTGTTTCTATGCCATGTTTCCTATGTCAGCCACAGAATTATAGTACATGATAGTGAAACTGCTGAATGTGCTCTGGGGTTCTTAGAATGACAAATTTCAATTAAGAGGCTGAATGGTGAAGGGAAATTCAATACCATAGTCTCCACTGGAGCTAAGTGTGGTATTGTTAGCTGGACTAACATGAAATCTCTGGGACTCTCCTTTTAATGAGGATTTTGGTGAGAAATAGCTCAGTAAAGAAGTCAAGATGATTTTTCCCCAGAAATACAGGAGAAATAATCATGTGTAGTTAAAGGACCCCTTTTTTCATCAACAAGAACATCTTTTTGTGAAAGCAAGCTCTCAGTTATTTTCTCTCATATTTATGGCTGTTGTTCTCAAGTCCCTGTGAACTGAATCTTTTTCTGCCACTGGAATCAAGGCATCTGGTTCAAATACTCAATATTGCCCTGTCCTGTTCCATTATCACTCAGGGGTTTGTTTTCAAATTTATAGCTCTGTGTTAAGAAATCGTTATCAGTGTAGTCACATTTTACATTGCAAATTCACCCTTAACCCTGGCTTGAACTTCACATCTACAGAAGGGCTCATATGCAGAGTTTAACAGCAGTATAGGAGCTGATAGTTAATTCAAATTAATGTCATTCTAGGATGCATTTGACTTGCAGGGCCCCAAGAGGGCTTTGCTGCCACTGGCACTAATGCTGAAGGCCAACACTCCTTTCTTCACCCTTTTGGTGGCTTAATGAGGATTGAAGGTCTGTAGCCTGTGGTATTTTTTACATGAATGCTTAGTGACCTGTTATTTCCCTTTTGTCCACTTCTCTATTTCTTCCTCACCTGCCTTCAGAAGGTGTATTTTTAGCATAGTTTTCCTGGCTGAACATCCTGCTTTCTTTCACCTGAAGGCACTGATGTGTTCCTTCTCTCCAGTGCTGCAGCTCCCCTGGGGCACATCCGTGCAGCAGAGTGACCTTTAGCTATTGCCAAGGCTGAGCTGAGGCTCTGTGGTTTCCTGCATAATCAGCCTGCTTGCTTTAAAATGTGCCAATCTTCTTTCAGCTCTCCTGCTGCTGTTTTATTTCTGTTGGTCTCCTTTTAACCTTGGCTTGCCTCCAGCCCCTTTTGGTCCTGATGATAGAAGAGCATCTGTAACAGCAGGCCGTCTATGGGATGGAATCTCTGCCCTCGTGGGAGATGAGCCAGCCTTGTGCTCTGGAAGTGAGGGAAGGTGTGCTTGGACTCATTCATTAATTCATTATTTTACATACACTGTTGTTTCTGTACTTGATGAGATAATTCTGGTTTTCCTTTCTCATTGTCTTCTTAACAGCATCATGGCTAACGCAGATCCTTATTAAATACTGCTTATAAATGCAGCATAATTCTGAGTTCTGTACAGACCTGCTAATTCCCAGCAAGAGGAGATGATGAGCCTTAGTTTCCAGATTTCTTATAAATGCAGAATCAAGCTACAATCAACTTGTGAGCAGAGTCCCATTGCTTACATCCTGCTTGTTTTCTTTGTGTTCAATACAGGTTCAGTGTAAGAAGAAGATAAGGTTCAAAGGCTGGTGAAATGTGCAGCTGAGCCCTCTAAGCAGAAGGGACCTGCAGTGGCCAGGGATAGTTGTCATTTATGTCCTGAGCACGACAGTGCACCCAGCCTGGCTCTGCACTGCCACCAGACTGTGGCATGCATGAGCCAGGGGAGCTCTTAAAGTTTATTTTTGTAGATGTGAAACAACCAAAGAGTTTTGCTGAAAAACCATTCAAGCTTGTCTAATACTAGTCCATGTTGAATTTATTTTCAGGGAGTCATTAATCATTTATATGCAATGACTTATATTAATATAATTTTAATAGTCACTAGGAAAATTACATCCCTGGTGTTTCTGGTTTTACTATTTTTCAGTGTGGAATATCATTAGTATGAAATTAGTGGTCAATACAAATGAGTGGAGGGAATCATTCCAGCACTTGAGAGAAGTACTATTAAGAAATATAGGAGTTTTTATGTATTGCATGCCTTTCTTTTAAAGAGATTGTCACATTGTCCCCATGAATCTTTTAATATACTCAGTAGAATGTACCAAGGGCCAGCCTGAGTGTTTAGATTCTTTAAAATGTACCTTTTAGGCTGTCATAAATATCTGCTGAGATGGAGAAGTGTTGCAAATAGTGCATTCTCTTCGCTTCTGCTTTTTATTTGTTTTTTTCTACCTTGTGGTTCTTCTGTAACACTAATTAGTTCAGCAGAAAGAGAAGCAAGGTGGGCACAAATGGAATTTTACCATGTCATCTTTAAGAGAACCTAATTGAATGAGCCAAAGGATATTTACATGACTGAGGTTTCAGAATGTTGCATAGATAGAGGTTTAATCACTGGACAGGTTAACTCTTATTCTTTTTGAGAGAGAAATGGTGATCACATCTGAGGTGAAATGCAATATTGATTGTCTGCCCTGCAACTGCAGAATTCTTGCTGGAGCTGTATCACCATCTTTACTGGGTTTGGATTTAATGTAAAACAGTGTATTTGTGTCAAATAGAGCAGTGGTTTGCAAAAGAAATGTTTCTCAAAGTGGAAAAGAGAATTTGCATTTTCTAATTGTATGGTAAAATAGTCTATTTGTAAATGAAAGCTTAAAATGTCTGTTTTCTTCCAAAGGAAACTTTAACAGTAGAAAAATGGGTGGTGGAGACTTGGCAAAGATTGAGAAAAATTGTGTGTTCCTGTGAGAGCTACTTTGGAGCCCTTGGTGTTGAGGCATCCATAACCTCTGTCCTCTGAATGGATTTTCTGGTGTCCAGCAGGGGAAGCTCAGCTTCCCTCAGTCCATGAGGATGTGTCACCTGCATACCTGAGAGCCTGAAACTGAGAGGGGTTTGGGATCTTTGAGACTTCCAGTGCTCTCAAATGTGGCTGAAGTTAAGCTGATGAGCATAAGAAATGATCAGGGGAGGATGTAGGGGGTAAAGAGGACATGGAGTCACAGTATAATCCTATAATCCTTGCTTCCTTAGGAATCTGGCCTTAATGTTTTGGCTTGCTGAATCATTTTGGCTTGCTTCAGGCATTCTTATTCATACATCTCTCAGGTCTCATTGGTAGACTAGGAATTTGTTAATGAGGTGTCAGATGTGGGGCTTAGGGCTTTTTTTTTGTTTGGTTGGTTGGTTTTTTGCAATCCATTGAAAATTTTCTTAAATTTAATGGTGTTCTGAGCCTCAGTGCAAACCACGTTTTTCAGTCTGATCTCAGCTTTTCCAAATGGCGTCTCCAAACAGCTTTTCCTTACAGACCACACTGGGGTCTGCATGTGCATCATCTCAGGGAATGACTACATGTTTGTCAGAGCATTTGCAAAGCTGCTCTGGACATTAGAGAGCCAAGGACTTGTTTCTCCTTGTGCTCTCTGGCATGCAGGCAGGCAGCAGCTGCCTCTCTATTCAAAGGCAAAGGAACAGAGTGACCCTGCTGTGGTAGGAATGGACTTTGGGCCTCTGTTGTTTCAGAACTGATACAGCACCTTGAGAGCTGTGCTGCCATCAGCAAGTGAATGTGTACCTGGGGCTCTGGAATTGCACTCTGACATTTTCTGGGTATTTCCCTGCTGTCTAAGCAGATGTTTAACATGGACTGTTCTTTCTTCATGTTATGCTTTATGTCAGTTCTGGCCAGCACAATGTCTGCTTTTACAAGGATGTAATTGCTTGTCACAGAGTTGCAGGCTCATCTCTGGTTGAGCTGGGTTTTGGATGAAGACCCCTGCACAATCTGTAGGAGTGCTTTCCCCGTGAACCCCCAGCTCAGCAGCCCTTTGGCTCAGCTGGAAGTGCTGGAACAGACCAGGGTCAATGAAAATTCTCCCACCCCACCCCAAGCCATGCCCTGTTTGCACGTTGTGCTGCATTTGCCAAAGTGATCCTTATTCCCACAGGCCTCTGAAGTCTTGCACAAATGGGCTGGCATTGCTTATGCTATTTTGACATAAACTCTGCTTCCAAGTGTCAAATCCCAGTGATGGGGACATTTGATCATTCAGAAACATCTGTTTGGCTGCTGTGTTAGGGCTCTGTGTGGGTCACTCGCTGCAGGAAGAAGCTCTTTATTCCTTAAAGAGGTGTCTGTGCCAAGAGCTGGCAAAGAGCGAGTTGGCTGGACTGAGCCAAAGGTGCCGGAAGAGACTCTGCTCTGAATTGTTTATTGATTCCTTCTTGCTGAATGATAGCATTCTTCCTCAGTCTGAAAAAGGAGATGTTTGCATTCCTGCCAAAGGAAAATTGGGGCTTGTGGGTATTTTTTTTTTCTTTGGCTGCTTTATCTTTGGCTTACTTTTTAATGAATTGCAGCATCTAGATAAGCGTCATTAGCAAAACTCCGTGCGCAGCAACTTTGTCTGTTTTCAAGGAGCTCTGCATCTCCACTGCAAGAGCCAGATCTACATCCAGGGAAAAAAACAGCCAGTCCAGTGGTGGGAATTGTCTTATTGTGTGGAAGCTTGAGTTCTGCCCAGCATAAAGATGAAGGCGAGGCAAGTATCATGGAGAAATAGCTGCGCTCTGCTGCTTCCTGAGCTGAGGGTGCAGTCTGTGTCCACAGCTTATCCAAGAGGTCAAGGTTTTATAGAGGTATCAGTCTTTCAACATCTGCAGTGTGACTCACTCCTTCCCTCTGGCAGCCTGGGTGTTTAACCCTGTAAGACAGATGGGACCACAAAGGAGGATTTATTGTCCTGTTCCAGCTTATGGTTTCACTGTAGGAGTCTTCTGGTGCATATAAACAGGCAGGTAAAAGGAGGCACTCTGAAGGAGTTAGCAATGGAAAAGGAGGCCTGGGTGGTGATAGTCAGAGGTCAGCACTGGCAACATATTCAGCCAGGCCTGTCCCTCTTTGTTATCATTTTTCTTCTCATGAAGAAAAGGAGAGTGTAGATATGAGCCTCTCTGCCTGCTGTCCCTCTGTTACCTCTGGAGTTTAACACCATGAGACAGCACCAAACTGCTGCAGGGCTCCAGAAATACAGGAAATCTCTGGGCTGGCCCTTGCACTGCAGCTATTTTCCAAAACAGTTTCTTGTCCTTCTCACAGCTCTTCCATCCTGTTCCACCACTGCAGCCCCTTCACACTGATATCACCAAAGTAAAATTCCCAGCTTCATTATTAGCATCCAGTTAGCTGAGCAAGCAGGAATTCTGTCTGAGGATTGTGCTGGGAACAAAGGACAGGTCAGGCTGCTTGTGCTCAAGGGACAGAAAGCAGCTCTGGAGAGTGTTTGAGATTCAGAATATATTTTATTAGCTGCACAGTCACATCTGCTTTTTATTCCCCATTCCCCCTGTGTACTGGGAGAAATACTGTGTGTTTGCATTTCCTAACTGACAGCTCAGCCAGGAGATATTTGACATTTCTTGATCTTGTTTTATGTGCCAGTGCCTTGGATTTAACTCTGCAGGTGCTGGCTCCCCCAGGCTCTGCCTGGGCACCTCACGCTGCTCTGTGCTGTTTTGCTGGGGGCTGCTGGTGAGCCACACTACTCCAGCCATGCTCTGGGGCCCCTTCCCTGCCTCTGGAAAGTGCCCCTTGCTTCACCCACCTGCAGGGCTGCCCTGCCCAGGGCTGTCACCCCACAGTGAGCAGCCTGTCCATGGTCCCCGAAGTTACCAGTGTGACAGGATCAAGGTGCAGCCATGCTGCTCCGGGCCTGCAGCTCTGGTGGAGAAGCCTGTGACTGTCACACTGTGTCCCTGGGGCTCTGGGACAGGTTGCCACAACAAGCAGGAATGGAAAGGCAACAGGACAGTGTGCTCTCACAGGGCCACCCAGCAGGAAGCTGCCTGTGCTTTTTCCCTCTACAGGCACATCTCAAGCAGAATGCATGCATCTTCCAAATATAAACCACTGCTGGTCACAGCACTTGTAACTGGGTTTACTTGGGAGGTGGGTGCACCCTCTGCTCTTCATCGGCTCTTGTGTAATTCACTTTATCTTCAGTTGTGCAGACAAGGCATGAGGCTGTTTCTAACCCCCGAGCACACAGGCAGCATGGAGAGGAAATGGCAGGTACCTTGGGACTGAACTGTCAGGGATGTGATGCAAATCACAGCCTCAGAGTCCTTTCTGACTAAATGAGGGTGCACTCGGCTGTGGCAGACCTTGATCCCTCTGCCAGCTGGCCACAAACTCTTCTACAAAGCAGGGCCACCATGACAGGCACCTGGGGTGAGCCCCAGACGTGCCCCACTGCCACCAGTGGGTCCAGCCTTGCTGTGCAACCCCAGCAGGAGGGGTTGGCAGCTGCACCCCAGCACCAAGTTCTTTGCAGGGGCCCAGAGGCTCTGCTGGGCACTGGACCAGCTGAGGGCCAGACACCAACGTGCGTTCCCAAGATGACGCAGCAGCAAAGACAACAAAACAGCTCAGTTTGATCCACACAACTATTTCTTTTTTTAATTATTAACTTGTGCCTTACAATAGAAGAGGAAAGAGTGCGAGCAAACAATTTGCTGGTTCCAGGAACTACTCTGGCAGCACCGCAAGGGCAGCGAGGTCTGGTGCTGATAACCCTGCCGGGCACTGACACACAACACGCGGAGTCTCCGGCTCTTGCAAAAGCGATCGCTGGCAATTTAAGGCATTGAAGGAAACCTATGGTTGTTAATCCTATATCAGATTTGGCACACATTGGAACAGTTAGAGCGGAGACAAGGATGCTTTGCGGGCTGGTGTTCAGGACTCCTGCAGCTTCCCAGTGCTGGCTAATCTGGGCACAGGGTTTTCATGGGAAGACTGTGCAGCCTAACAAGGGGCCCTCGGTGCCTTCACCTCCAATGTTAGCAGTTCCCTGCCCTGTGCCTGCTGCTTATAAACCCCATGTGCCTGGCTTGACTAGTGCTCTTAGGAAACAAGATTTGTCAGTACAAAGAAAAAGTAACATTCCTTATAGTTCAAAACATACGTGGCTGAGATCAGATGTCAGGTGCAGTTACAGTTCAGTATGGCTATTTCTGTGCTTCTAAGATTAAAAGTGGATGGCTACAGTTTGAGGAGTGGGGAGGAGTTTAGCTGTACATGGATTTGGATAACTGATGAAACTAGTTACAGTAAACATGTTGAGTTGTTTCCCTCTCCTCCCTGGAGAGCTGGCTCAGCAGCATTCCCAGCTGGCTGCCCCTGACCCGCCGCAGGAGGAGAGAGGGAGCGTGTTACGAGTCCATGTGCCACCACCACAACGACCAACATGCATCTCTAGCTACCTGTCCTGCGTGCCCCCACCCCATTTAAAAGGGAGCAATGTGCCAAGCTCGGCCTCTGTGTGGCAGGACCTGCAAGGAAGCCATCCCTGGGTGTGTGTCCCCGGGAGGGTTTTGTGTTTTTAAGGGAGGCTTCCTGCGAGCCCAGTGCAGCTTTGTGCCCAGAGGAGCAATATCAAGGCCGAGTGGAGACTGTTCCCCCTCAAATGCTTATGAACATTGGTTCCTGATGGTTACATCTTTGCATTGGCAAGGATTCCTCCAGGCAGGTTTAACCTCCCTCTTTTCTTGACAGAGGTTATGGTCCCCTCAATCACCTCAGCCCTGCTGGATGATATTTTAGAGGTCACTTTAATAACCTCTCCTTGCTCCTCCTCCTTGAAGGACAGAGTAGAGGAACTAAAGCTCCTTGGCTGGAAGGAGTAAGTGGGGCTGGGGAGGGAATTGAGAGATGGAAGGCCGCCACTTCCCATGTTGAAGAGGGTCTCCTCTCCCTCCAGCAGCTTCCTGCAAGTACATGACAAGGGAAGAGGTTAGTATGGGGATGTGAAATAGCTGCAAAACTTGAGAGCATGGTGTGCCCTGCAGGCAAGTCCAAGCCATCACCACAGTTCACACTGCACCATGAAACTGATTAAAAATCATATTTTGGTCAACCATTTCTGGAAGACTTGCACAGGAGAGCAAGGGTACAGGAGAGCAACTTTCTCTTTTCTTTCCTCTCCAGAAACACCAGGAAAATAAATACCCAAAGCACAGTCTTTTGCACCCACTTTTAACTTCGCAAGAGAGACAAGTTTCCAACCCCAGCTGTCCCATTAATAAATACTCCTTCTAGGATGGCTGAGGGAAGTGGTTCACAACTGCTAGATGGAGGCAGGACACGGAGCCATGGCTGCTCACCAGGCAGGAGTATGGCAGATCCAGGTGGGGGAGATGAACAACATGCTTGAGGTGCTCCTGGAGTGTGTACCCAAGTATTTTCTGGGCCCTTGAAAATACCCCAGCCTAGTGAGGTCAGGGGATTGGGCTTGGGAAGTGTTCCAGGTACAGCAGGAATAGAGCAGCCTTACCTGTAGGCAGCTATCTCGATATCAAGGGCCATCTTGACATTGAGCAGGTCTTGGTACTCCCTCAAGTGCCGAGCCATCTCATTTTTGGTGTTTCGCAGGTCATCCTCCAGCTGTCCAATGGTGTCCTGCAAAGGCAAGGGTGCTCAGCCCTGTATTTTGGAGCAGGGACTTCTCCCACAGTCCCTCTCTGCTTTACCCATTGTAGAGACAGGGAAGTTGCAAGGGGCAATTGATCCATGATGGCACATCCCATGGGGGGCTTGGGACCATGACATTTCATGCTAGCAGGGATGAAGAGGCAGGCAGAGCACCAGGCCTGGCTTGTGAGAATGGGCAATGGGAGAGGCTTTGGCCATTGATGGATTCATGTCTGCAGCAGGGTCTGTGAGATGGGCAAGTAGTGCATGGTGGTGGGTCCCCCAGTCCTGTGGGGGACAAGGCAGGCTGCTACAAAGGGAAGTTTTGGGCTTAAACATCTTCAAAGTAGAGGCAGTGGCTCAACAAGACAAGTGAAAGCACCCCCCACTGCAGCAGCAGAGAAGGGCTGCAATATGCATCTGCAGGGATTAAGAAGGGTTGGGACATGCTTCCAGGAGGTGGAAGGAGAGGTGCTGCTGCCAGGGGTCCCCTCCAGGTGGGAAAGCTTGTCACCTTCCCCAAAGTGGGGGATTTGGGGAGGTTACAGAGACAGGGACCTGCCCTGGCAAGAGCCAGGGTGCTCAGCTGGGCAACAGTGTCCTTCTAGCATTTGTCCTGCCTTTTGTCCCTTATAACCAGTTCTATCTGTGATGTGGAGGACTCCAAGGCCAGAATTCCTGCTAACAAAGGAGACTAATCTTTTCTTCTATTTTTTTTCTCAGAAAAAAGCAGTCTGTATTTTTCCCACATGCATCTAGGTATCTAAGTAGCAGCTTGAAAGCAGTGAAATCTGCTCCCATAAGGCTCTTCCCAACTGGGTTTCCTGCTGCCAGCTGCCCCACTGTGCCACCAGAGGAGCGTGATTTGGAACAGGAATGAGTCAGCAGTTTGCACTTAAGCCATGATGTAGCCCTGCCTACTGAGCCCTGCAATGGCCACTGCCAACCTCCACTCTCCTGCATCCCCTCCCAGAGTCAGGACTTTGCAATTGCTTCCAGATCCTCCATTCCAGCAAACGATCTTTGTCCTGCCACATCATCCTCATCTTGTCCCCTTCCCATTCCTATCATGTCCCCAGCTTCCTCTCCTGCCTAACCTTCCTTGTGGACAGTGCAGAGACAATCCCAAGGAGCTGTGCTGACCCTGATGCAGTGAGCCCTGTTTGAGCAGAGCCTCTCAGAGCAGCAGCTCATCCTGAATGCAGCATAGAGCATGTCACAGTCAGATTAGCTGGGCACAACCAGCCTTGTGTGATATTTAGGAGCCATCCTTGTGGTCTCTACCTTGACCTGTGTTGCCCTGACCATTTTCCACAGCAAAAGATCTGCAAGAAGCTGTGCCTCTGAGGAGATCACTGGGGCATCGACTGAGAAGCCACAGGACGTGGCTGCTGCTGCTATAGAGGTTAAAGCCTCTGCTCTGATGCAGACAGATTGCTGCTGTACCAAGCCAGGACATGAAGGAATGACTTGAGATGATCCCCACCCTGGGACATCTCCACTCTTGCTGCTGTGACTTTTTGTGCCTCCAGCTCTCTTCCCTCTGCCTGTAGTCCACACAAACAAAAAGCTCTTTCAAAACTGGTTGTCCTTGTTTTGTCCACCTCTCTTCCACAGCCCAGCTCTACCAGCTGGTAGAATAAAAATCCCCTCCTCACACCACTGCAAACCTGTTCCCTAACAAAAAGCTCTTGCATGTTGGTGATTTGACTGGGCAGCCCACAATTATAAAGACATGCCCCTGCTTTAGCAGGATCATTTTTAAAGCTCAGACAATAGGAATATTCTTTTAAGACACACTTCCAACCTTTTTCACTGTTTGCAGCCAAGGAAGTAACTTAGCTGATACGCAGACACATTGCTCAATGGACTTTTAAGTATTGCTACACATAAAGTAGATCCTGAGGGTCATATAGAAAAGCACTGCCATGCTGTCACTAAAGCAATTTCAATTTTGGTGCTGTTTAATCCAGTTGCTTAATTTTCTTTTTCCTCAATTGATAGGTTGCTCCCAGGACCCCTCTTTCACATGACATCAAGAGTATTTAAGAAGATTATTGTGTAAAATGTTTTCACTATAGATAATATTTTATATTGCCTATTTCCACAAAAATTGTTGAAGACCAGCTCAACTATTCAGGAAGCTTGCAAGCAGCTTGGAACTAAGGCATGAATTTTAGAGCATCTGGCAAAATTTGGCCTTGGAAATGACAAGGCATTACTTGGGTCCTCCAGGTATGATTAAAGGCAGTTGTTTCAGTATTTAGAAGGAAATGGCTTGATTTAGAAACCACAGATCATTTAACAGCCATATAATAGAATAACCTCATGATTCATTTTATTATAAATCATGAACATTTCCCTGTAGCAAGAGAATGCGGCAATACTGCAGTAATGGAATAAGAGATATGGAGCAGGCAGTGTCTACCTTACATGAGTCTTTCCACAAACATAAAAAATGCTGGGATCTGTCCAGATCCAGACTTAACCTTTGCAGAGCTCCAATTTCTGCAGTGCAGGTGCCAAGAGCTAGGCCACAGGGCAAAGGGCCAAGCCTGGGCAGACAGCTTCGAGGAATTACCCACAGCGATGTGTAGGCAATTTTGGACCTGATCCTTAATGGACAGGGCAGGGATGGATCAATGCCCCAAATAGCGCTACCGTGTGCGGGATGTCCCCTGCAGGAAGGGAGCGTTGGAAGGGATGTGCTGACCTGCTTCCCCGAAATCTGCTCTATGGGGTTTTGCCTCTGGATAAAGGGTGAAGGCAACAGGCAAGGCCGTGGTGGAGCAGGATCTGTGTGCACAGCAGAGAGGCACAATGCTGGGTGGTGGGGAGGCTGCAGGGATGCCTGGCGCTGTGCAGCTCTGCAGGGGCACTGCCTGCATGGGTGGGTTCTGCACAAGGCAAAGGGGTGAGTGCCGTTCCGTTTTAGGGGTCTTTTGTGTAGCGCAGCACTGCTCGGGACAGCACAGGCGATGGTGCTGGGCGATGTGGGCCAGGGGCACCGCATGGGGCCGGGGTGTCCAGTGCTGCACAGAACCACGGGAGGGGCTGCTGCAGGGGATGGAGCCGCGCTGCAGCGCTTCGCAGGCCGCGGCGACGCTCAGCGCTGCACGGGACCAGGGAAGGGAAAGTATGGGGACGCAGGTACCGCACACAGCACCGGGTGTTTGCGTGGGATGAGATCCCCGGCGCTACACATTACAGAGGGCGGCTGCTGGGATGGAGGTGCCGACTGGTGCGGATGGCGCGGGAGGAGGATGCTCGGTGCCTCCCGGTGCCAGCGGAGGGCACAGTGACGATTCCCGGCACCGCCCGGCTCACCTGCAGGCCGGCGGCCTCGGCGTTGTGCCGCTCCTCCAGCTCCTGCAGCTGCCTCTCCAGGGACTGGTGAGCGCCGCGCAGGCTCTCCATCTCCACCAGGCGCGCCTGGAGCTGGCGGCGGCACTCGCCGGCCTCTCGGCGGCTGGCGCGCACGGCCTCCTGGCTGCGGGCCGCCCGCTCGTGCAGGCGGGCGCAGCGGGCGCGGTACCAGTCCTCGGCCGCCTGCAGGTTGCGGGCCGCCAGCGCCTCGTACTGAGCGCGCAGCTCCCGCAGCGCCGCGGCCAGGTCGGGCCGCGGGGCCGGCGGCGGGGCGGCGGCCGGGAGCGCGGCGCCCAGCTCGGCGAGATGCTCGGCGTGGGCGCTGCGCATCGCCGCCAGCTCCTCCTGCAGCGCCGCCGCCCGCCGCTCCAGGTCGGCGCTGGCGCGGGAGGCCGCCTCGGCCGCCTGCTGCCGGGAGCGCAGCGCCCGCTCCGCCTCGGCGCGGCTCCGCGCCTCCTCCTCGCAGCGCGCCCGCAGCCGCTGCGTCTCCTCGGCCAGGCGCGCCCGCTCCAGCGCCGCCTGCGCCCGCTCCCCGTGCGCCTCCTCCAGCCGGGCGCGCAGGGCGCGCAGCTCCCCGCCCAGCAGCTGCCCCAGCCGGCGCGGCTCGTCCGAGCGCTGCCGCAGCGCCGTCAGCTCCGCCGCCAGCGCCCGGTTCCGCTCCTCCAGCGCCCGCACCCGCTCAATGTACCCGGAGAAGCGCTCGTTGAGGCCCTGCAGCTGCTCCTTCTCGCTGCCCCGCGCCCGCCGCGGCTCCGCGCCGCGCTCCCGCACCGCCTCCAGCTCCGCGCCCGGGCGCGCCCACCGGCCCGCCAGCATCTCCGGGCGCCGCGGGGCCTCCGCGAAGAGGTGGCGGTAGGAGGCGGCCAGCGCCGCCGGCTCCGCGCTGTAGCTCATGGCGGCGGAGGGGGACCGGCGGCGGTGCCGGCGCTTATGTACGGCGGGGCGGAGCGCGGCGCGGAGGGGGCGCGGGGCGGAGCGCTCCGGCGCGGAGGGGGCGCGGTGCGGTGCGGTGCGGGGCGCGGTGCGATGCGGTGCGGTGCGGTGCGGTGCGGTGCGGTGCGGTGCGGTGCGATGCGGTGCGGTGCGGTGCGGTGCGGTGCGCGGTGCCGCCGCGGCAGGAGGCGACAGGAGCTGTCCGTGAGCCGCAGTGCTGAAGGGCTGTGGCAGCGGGCGGGGCACGGAGCGGGACCGACGGACGGATGGATGGATGTGGGGGGAGATGTGTGTGGGGAATAGACGGTCACACGGACGCAGAAGGAGCGTGCAAACATACACAGGCATATGGACGAGGTCCCACACGCACAAAGAGACAGACGGATGCACAGGCGTGCAAAAAGGGTCAGGTGCATTCACAGTAAGGCACACGTCCACTTGCTCGGAGCCAGAGAGACAAAGGAGCAAAGCAGCTGTTCAGAGACACACAGATGTATTGGCAAGAAGAGGCAGAAAGGTAGAGAGACAGAAGGAAGAAGGCAGAAATGGGCGGGTGGAGAGAGTCAGGCACGCACCCAGAGAGACAAAAGACACACAGACACACACACACATACACTCAAATCACTCTTGCTGGGGTATCCCCAGCTGTCCCCTCCAATGCTCAAGGGAAGCTGTGCTGTTCATCTGTGTCCGGGCTGAAGGGGTCCTGGGGGGTTGGTTCCAGCCCCTCTTCTCTGATAAGGACCAGGGTGCCTCTGTCTGTGTGGGATCTCCTTGGGATAGCGACTGTTGGGGTGCAGAGCTGGGAGTATGCCTGGAGGAGGGTGTGACCACGACAAAGGCTCGTAATGGTCAGTCCAGATGTAACACAGGTGACACACAGGGAGGATTTTGCCTTCAGGTTGTTTGCCAGGAACTGAAACACTTCACTTTCTGTACTGTCCATGCAAGTAGGCTGGGCCCTCCAATTGGCTGGGGTGTGCTGGGAGTACCCAAAGCTGTATCACTGGGGTACATGCACACCCCACCTGCACCCCAGTGCAACCAAGACACCAATGAAAAATTACTGATTTCTGGGACCAGCAGCACAAAATACAGCTGTAAGATGGAAAAACAACTTAATTTTGATGTAAGTGTGAGAAACATGGGTGAAATGAGCAAATATTTGGATCCTGTCCCCTGCTGTACATCTCTGTGGCACAGAGATCTGCACTATGCCCCGTTCCTCCTTTCCACTTATCCCTGTTTGTCCTCACAGGTGACCAGAGGACAGCATGAGGGAGTTCCAGCAAATAAGCAGGGAGGACAAACAAGCCAGGGATGTCATTGGAGAGAGCTGTGACTTCCAAAAGAGCTGTTGCTGTGGTTGAGCAATACCTTCAGTGCAGATAGCTCGATGTGCAGCTGCAGTGTGAGCTGCACACTTGCATCATCCAAGCAGCTCACGTTTTGATGGCAGAGCATCCCAGGCAGAGAGCCTTGGCACAGGTGAGGCTGCTGGCTATCCTCACCTTGGCCTGGGCTGCCTGATTCACACTGCCAGGACAGAAATCCTCTTCTTGGTCTGCTTTTTTCCCCAGGTATTTCACATACTCCTCACATACAAGTGTGTTTTACCATTTCCTCAGTGTCTCCTACTTTGCATTACAATATCCTAAGTCAGGGGTTTACTGCTGCAAGTAACTGATCACAGAACTAAGAAGTTTCCAGCTCTGCTTGGTTATGTGTGTGGCATTGCTTTGAAGGCTTTGCTCTGATGCTTACTGCTAATGATAGAGGCTTCTGTGGTTCTCTTTGTCATGGAAAAGTGGAGTGCAGCTTACCCTGGCTTCCCCACTCATGCTGTTTCAGCACTGCCATAAATATGTACCCTTACAGCTGAGTTAGGAGTGTCACAGACTCCTCCAGCACATGAACCACAAGGTAGTAGAAGTACTGATTTCCATGGGGAAAGACCCTGGGATAAAATCCCTTTGCCTCTGGGAAAGGGGTCGAGGTGTTCCGACGTCATTTACACACCCAGTAGGGGCTGCATGAAACAGTTGAGACCTGTGCCAGTTGCTGGTGTGACTGCTGGAACCGTGTGGCTGAATGAGCACAAGGGATCAGAGTCACTAAATTACAGCGGGCGCTGCTGTCCTGCAGAGCAAGGCTGGGACTCTGAGGCTGGAGAAAAGCTGAACGCTGGCATGTCAGACCTGAAATGGGATGACAAGCTGGACAAGTGGGCACAAACTGAAAGCTCAGCAGTGCCTGTGATGTGTTCAGCATCAGGAAACCTTGACATTTGAGTAACTGTTGCAACACAGACACATGGCATCAGGGGGTTTATAAGGCTAGAAAACAAGCAGAAAACCAAAGAGAAGCAGGTCCATAGCTAAGAACTGTACACCAATGAAACAACGATGGGTTGTATTAGGGATTAAAGTACCTCCTAGTTACTTGAAAAATCAAGTCTTATATGTGAGACAGCAGGAGGACTCCTTAAAGCTCTGTAATACTCTCCACACAGCATCTGCCTGCTGACAAGGCTCATTAACCACTTATCTCCCGAGCTGCAATCTGCCCGGGCTCCTGAGTCACAGGGAAAAGCCGCACTGAGCTGTGCACACGCGGCAATGGGACACACACCTCCCGGCCTGCATAGCCCATGAAACTGAAGCTCTGGGGGGCTGCTTCACCAGCCAGCCTCACCACAGCAGCGTCGTGAGATGGAAATGCTTGCCAGCGGTGGGAAAAAGGCAGACCCCGGTGTCTTCCAGGAGGCGGCTGCCACATCTCCTGTGGCACAGGCGGGTCTGGCCCCCTGCAGGAGGGAGAGCTCCCTGGGTGAGGGCAGCACAGTCAGGGGGAAAACATGTAAGTGGTAAAACACACATAAGGAGGACAGATGAATTTGCTTTATTGCCCACACACAACCAAACTAACAAAAATAGGAAAATGGCTGTACTGGATCCCTCTAACTCAGGCGTGTGTTTCTCACAGTGGGAGATTCATGCTTCTTTGGTATAACTTCTCTGGTTCTGTCTGTCTGCAGCTCTGGGGCTCCACAGACAGCAGTCACATCTCTGTTTACTGGCCTTTATCTAATCAGTGCAAGTTCATGTCCTGCATGCCATTGTGCTCTGTAATCCACACTTTGATAATGCACTCTATGAAAAAAACATATTTTTTCATGTTTCCAAGTGGCTGCCAGCTAATTTCACCCCATGTCCCTGGGACACAGTGGAAGAGCTGGGATATGGTTTCTCCCTACCCACCTCCCTGAGCAGAATTTTGCAGACCTCTGCCTTACCCAATTCACTTCTTTCCTAGGCTGAAAGAGGCGATTTCATTTTCCTTTGCAGAAAAGCCATTTCACATTTTTAGTCATCCTTGTTGGCTTCAGTGACTCTTTTGGCGTTATGCATTGGAAGGACACACAGGAAGACATTTCAGGAGGGGCCCTGCCATGATGATGCATGGAAATGACAAATACAGGTGGCTGCATGTCCAAGCAAAAACTCTTCCTTGGGGGCCTGGTGCAGGTGCTGTGAGATGTCCCAGAGTATTGGGAAGTGCAGGCTGAGCTTCCCTGATGAGCAATGTCTCCCTGCCAGAGGCTTGGTACCAAAAATGGACTTTGTTACAGCCAGAACTAATAGTTCTGGTGCTGTTGGGTGTTTCCTCTGGGAAGGGGATGATGGAGCAAGGCTGACAGAGTCTGGAGAGCTACAATGGGCCAAGTCAGCAAAACCCTGCCCAGCTGCGTGTCCCCATGCCAGAGGGTGGTGGCAGAGCCTTATTAGGGGCAGAGTAGAGGGCAATAGGAAAAGCTGAGGGAGTCCTTGGGGAGATAAAGGAAGCGTCATGGCAGTTGGGACAGAATAGCTGCGGCCAGTGTGAGGCAGATATTCCCAGCCTCTGGCTACTAGTGAGGCACGGGAAAGGAGATAGAATGAGTATTCCAGTGGCTTGGCACAGCAGGTGGGCCTGGATGAGGTGGGGTAGATGGATGGCTGCCATCACCCTTGTCTCTGGCAGGGATCAACCTGAGGTAGCCAGCATCCCAATGTGAGGCCTTTTCCAGCCCTCCAGGGTCAGGAAAAACAGATAAAAAAAGCAAGGCTTGTTTTGCTGCAGGGGGCTTGCATTGCTCTGCACTTTTTGTGGCGGTGCTGATCCAGTGGGCACAACTTGGGGGGCACCACAGGCAGTTTCTTCTCTGCACAATGATCCCCTCAGCCTGCCCAACCTAGTGGCCATGCCTGGAGGTATGAGGGATGTAGTCTGTGTTCACAGTAGACTGGGATGGGACACACCTGCCTGTTGCTGTGGTCACTGTCCCTCAATCCCCCAGCCATCATCCCCTGCCACCCCAGCTGCTTGGGGACCTCCTCACCACCCTTGTGGCAGCAGATGGGGCACACACTGACCCCAGCCTTGTCCCAGCCCTCATTGCAGACACACTCCCCAAAGTATCAATGATTATCACATCATTTTAACCAAAGCTCTGGCTCTCTCAGCCATTAAAAATAAAAATTAATGGAGCTTAAAAATAAATGAACATTGTGCAGCATGGGGAGCTGATGTCAAATACAGTGACTAGGTTTTACTTGATACCAAAGTCTATGCTTCCTTAAGCTCCTAGCTCAAGGTACTGTAACTCAGTGGCAAACTAATACAAAGGAGCCTGGTAACAGATTTTGAAAATTAGCATTATGTGGCACAGCAACATCGAGGCTGGCTGACAAAACTGTGGGAGCTCAGGCAGGCCAGAGAGGTGCAGGCCTGGGTGTGTGCACACCTGCATGGTATGTGTGTGTGCAGCCCCAGAGACTCTGTCTGGAGCGATGCCAGGCCTGGAGGAGGCTGCTGAGGAAAGGCTGTGTGGTTGTTCTGTGATTGCCACACTGAGTCACAGAATTGTTAGGGTTGGAACAGACCTCTGGAGATCTTCCAGTCCAACTCCCCTGACAAGGCAAGGTCACCTGGATCATGCGACACAGGGATGTGTC